AAAGAGGACCACCGTCCCATCTGCTCACGACATTCACCCACTGCATAATGGCATTTTGACAGATGCCGGTAACATATAAACATTTGGGCAGAGCTAGCAGTGACAGCGAGCTCTGCCCAACTGTTTACAGTTGTAACAGGTGGGCCATGATTGGGCATCATGACTTTGCCCAATCATGGCTCTCACAGAGTACTAGGCCCTGATTGGGCAAAGCCTTGCACCTGACCGTGGACAAGTGCAAGGCTTTGGCCAATTAGGGTTTACAAGACACAGTGCCTTGTGCAGGGTGCTCAGCGGCGAAAAGCCTGATGAACACCCTGATAGTTCGTGTGTTCGCCGAACACGCAAACTGCCGATGTTCAAGTCAAACTCACATTCGACTCGAACATTGAGCCCAACACTATTCACCAAGCAACATTTTGAAGCAGAGCCTGTTCACCTAGCAAAATGAATGTAAGTAAAAAATCTGGGCAATAACTCACTATTTGCTGACTTTAGGTCATAGGAGTATACTATATTAGTGAATGTACTCCTGTGACCCAAAAGAGAGGCAAAGCCAAGCCAAATGCAAGAGATGTAATTTGCTTTTTTCTAACCGTTTACAGGTACAAAAATAGGCATGCTTTGAAAATACAGAGGCTTGCAACAAAAAAGGTTATACAAGACAAAACAAAGCAGCTCCAGTGTCTGTATAAAATAAGACTCTCCAATTTGTATGGCATACAGTTATTTTGTTGATTGCAACACTTTTAATGCACAAAAAGTTCAACATGCAATAACTGTTGAGCAATGCTGTACAGTGGTATGGACTGTGAAAGTGCATGTGGATTTCTCCATTGCAGAGCATTGCAGCATGCCATGTCTCCACCCATTTACTCAACACATAACAGCGCAGTGAGTGGCCATGCCATTCATTTTGAATGGTATCCCAATATTTTTCACAGCAGAGCACAAAACATTGCAGCTTTGCCAAAAAAAAGTGTAATTTGTGTTTTTTTATTCATTGTGGTACATTGCAATGAAATGTCTGTCTTAAAGAAGAACTTCAGGCATAATAAAACTACCCCTGCGCTACAAGGGTAAGGTTTACGTGCTTTCTTCTGGTCTAGGGTGTAAAATAACAAAGATAAACTCACTTGATCCTTGATCCTGCCTGGCTGGCTAGACCAGTCCTTGCAACCTCTCTCCTTCTTTACTCCAGCGGTCTAAGGACCCAAGAATCATCAAGTCTAATACAGTGTATTAGACATGAGAATGCCAAGGGACATATGATCACCAGGGTGGAGGGGGAGAGAGGCTGTAGGGATCAATCTAGCCTGCCAGGCAGGACCAAGGATTGTGTGAGTATATCTTTGCTATTTTAGACCCCAGACCAAATGAGCACCTAACCCTTGTAGTGCAGGGGTAGCCCCAGTGCAAGGGTCAAGTTTTATTCTGCCCAAAGATCTTCTTTAAAGCATGCGATAATGTGCTTTAACTTGCGTGCTTTACCACACCACAATTAAGTGTTTAAGTGTGAATCGGCCCTAAAAAATTCAGCCTTCAACACCTCTCAGGTAAATTTTTACAATGATACACATTGCAACACAAAATTACTGTACAACATGACATGTTCTGATTTGTGTGAGGGCACCTCATTATTTGCTTGGCTGCGTTTAGAACAATAACAAAACTCACTTTACAACACATTCTATAATTCCACAAAGTTCAAAATAATGCCATTATAATTTGATTGTAATACCAAAAAAAGAAAAAACACATAAACTGGATTCAAGGGTGGCTTAAAGATTCTTCCAAAGACTGGATGCAATTTTCAGTTTTAGTTTAGTGTCACTTTAATGTTTTCAAAATATTGAAAAAGTCCTAGTACCACTATCACTAACCAAGTGCTTGCTCTTACTGCAGTTAGTGTTTCTCTCTCTGCCAATAGCTGTTGGTGGATACTCATGTTCACAGAGGTATATTTGCTAAGTGAACTCAGGATTGAGTAATAATTCACAAACCGGAGTTGAAAGAGTTTATTCTGGAATGTTAGTACTGTTAATGTCAGGAAGCATCATATCATATCACTTGTGCAATAATGTAAATTATGCCTGAAACATATAAGCAATGTAATGTGCATGGAACCAAGCTTGTAAAACTTACTGTGCTGTTTCCCATTATTCATTAAAGAGAATGTTGATTGGGCCTAAGGTATGGTCTGCTCATGAATGAGCAGTATGAAAGCCAGGACCATTAGACCCAGGTATATATGCTTTATGAGACTAATTGGGGTTAACAATTGTTATCAGTGTTTGATATGCATATTATTTTCCCATTGTGATTTGACAACTGGGAATAAGAACTAGCAAAATCCTCTGTGTATGAGGTTTAACTGCATTTTTTTTTTGCTTCAGTAAAAATGTTTACACCATAACTAAAAGTAGTATTAACTGCTTGCCGTCCACCCATTGTCAAAACACGGGCGGACAGTGGACGCTTCCCTGTCGGGTGGATGCCATTTTTTTCTGCTCTCACGCACCCCCCTCCGGGGCACCCCTGAGCAGAATCTAACCGGGCATGTAAACAGCCATTACTGGCTGTTACATTCAAGCGTTCGGCTGGCTTTACAGCTGGCTGATCGCTTGTATTATAGCATACAGCGCCCCTCCCCCCCTCTGCTGCCTTGCCCCCCCGCCTGCTACTGCAGCCCGTCATCCCGGGCTCCACTGTCCCCCCTGCGGGCCCGGGACATGCACAGCGGCTGTGTTCTCTGCAGACAGAGGAGAGATCACCATTCTCTGACTTCCTGATCTCTCCTCCTTTCTCTCTAAAGGCAGTTATGATGTGTATTACTTCCGCCTTTAGCTGTTATTCTCTGGCTCCTATAGCTAGAGAAAAGGCTGGTGAAGCAGATCTCTGCTTCATCTGCTTCTTTGGGTGTCCCTAGGTGACATGATGGGGGTGATTTACTAACCTAAACACACGCACGCACTAGGTGCGTGTGATTTTTACACAGCAAAACTTATTTATCAACCAAAAAGTCTCTGAAAGCATATGTCCACTAATGCCATATATGGAAAAATCATGCACATGATGCATATATAATGCTGCTTCACAGTTTAGACAAAAATGGTTAGCTCATGCATTTACATTCCTGCATTCATCAACGCAAGCAACACAACATAGAGCTAATTTACACAACATCACCTTGCAATTCATGCAGGGCTTTGCACAACACACCTGCTGGGTGTGTACACACTACAAAGGTGTTTAGATTCCACCCATAGATCATGCTGGGAGGGAACACACTACAGAGGTGTATACATGTTCGTGGTGTGTTTATAAGGTTAGTAAATCAACCCCAATGTATCCATAAAGAGGACCTGTCACTGTATATTTCTTATCACATTTGCTTGCTAGCCCCCTCAGTGATAGCAATAAAGTTAAGTGTAAAACATTTTTTTTCTCAAGCACTTACAGTTATCATGTTTACAAACAGCTGGCCCCAACTCTCTCAGCTCAGCTTCCCTAAACTTCCTGTTGAGTACAAGATTACAAGGGACGGAGCAGTCTGCAGCAACTGTCCGTCTGGTAGTTTGCAAAAGGGTGGAGGCAGAAGAAGGGAGCAAGTGAATGGTTTGCCATGCCTTACCTGTGTGTTTGTGGAGAGACACACACAGCCTACTGTCGCCAGGACAACCAGTGGCAGCTTTTCTTCCTCTTCAATGGCTGTGACAGGTGTGGCTTTCTTCTTTTTGAGGCATTTCCCTTTTTAACTGGCGACATTGAAGCTCAACTTTTGATTTCTGCCTACTGATGTAATCATTCATTGTAATCTTTGTTTTATGATGTGCTTCCACAAATGTTGTTTTGGTTGTTCTGTTTTGTAAAAAAAATAAAAAATTTCTGGACATGCAATGGTATTATGAGGTCAGGGGGTGGGGGGAGTGATTTACTGCTTCACTTCTTGTTCACTTCATTAGTAATTTATACAATGATGGTTGTGGCCTTTATGCACTGTCCTCTCTGAGCCTGATGAAGAGGACCTTGTGCGGCCCCGAAGGCGCTTGTATTTG